GCGCCACTGCACTCCAGCCTGGGTGACAGAGCAAGACTCCGTCTCAAAACAAAACAAAACAAAAAACAAAAACTAACATCTTACAGCAATATGGTACTTTTGTTTTAATTAATGACCCGGTATTGCTATTATTAGCCAAAGTCAGATTTCCATAGTGTTTTCCAGACGTTCCTCTGTGCCAGGATCCCACCAGGACCCCACACTGCATTAGCTGTCGCATCTCGCCAGGCTTCTCTTGGCTATGAAGACCTTCCTTGTTTGTGCTGACCTTAGGTCGGCAGTGTTAGGGAGCGCTGCTCAGGTATACTGTAGCACGCTGAGGGGGGCTGAGACTCGGATGAGGAGAGCTCAGTCTGACCAGGCTCTGGAAGGAGCCGTCATGCTGGATCCAGAACCCGGCTTCCTGGGCCTGAGCCCCATCACACAGGGACAGCACCTCTGCTCAGTGTGCCCTCCCGTTCCCTCGCAGGCAAGGGGATCAGGCGAGTGAAGCCGAAGCGCACCACGTCCTTCTTCAGCCGGCAGCTGTCCTTGGGCCAGGGGAGCTACACCGTGGTGCAACCCAGCGACAGCCTGGAGCAGGGCTGAGGACACCGCACCCGGCAGGAGGAGGGCAACTGGGGGCCCTGGCCCGGCACTGTCCTCCTGAGGGGCAGGGGCTGGCTGCAGCAGTCTCACGGGTCATGCACATGGGGTGGGCTGCCTCAGCAGATTTCTCAGACCACAGAGAAGTGACTGGCCCCGGGCTGTGCAAAGCTGGCCAGGGTCTTCCGCAGGGCCCCTCTGCAGCCTGCCCACCCTTCCCCCAGACACTGGGCCCTGCTGCTATCTCAGGACCATCTGATCAAGCTGCAGCTGCCACCTCACCTAGAAACATGCCTTTGTGCCCACCTCAAGATGGGCAGTGTCCCTGTTCCAAAGTACCCCGGTGGCAGCTCCAGTGGCAGAGGACCAAGGATTGAGGTTTGGGACCTGAAGGTCCAGTGTGTGCCTTTGACCTCTTCCCTGAACTTGGGTGACCAGTCCCCGCCTTCCTCCTGCTAGTGCTCCACCCCCTGCACTTGGATGACCAGTTTCCTGCCTGCCTTCTGCTGGTGCTCCACCCCCGGCCACCGGGGCCACCTGCCAGGCTGGGCCACCACTCTGAGGAGGGTGGGAGGGGCCTCTCTGGATTGAACCAGGACAGAAACATGGTGAGGGCCCCCACCACACCTCCCTAGTTGAATCAGGAATGGAGGGAGCCAGGCAGGACCCTACCTGGGGTCCTGTGCCCCTCGTTCTGGGTCTCCTTTGCAGGCACAAGACACCAGAAGGAGCATGCCTTTCTGGTAGTCTTTGGTGATGTCACTGCTGGGAGGTGGCTGTCCTGTGGACCACCTGGCCTCCAGACCCACACTCACAGTCTGAAAAAGTCCTGAAAATCCCCGGGTGGGCACTCCCTGGAGCCCAGGCAGCTCCCCTAGCGGACTGGCCAGACCTGCCCTCTCCTCCCCGTGTCTGGGTCTTCAGGTTTCAGTTTGGTCTTTGGTCATTTGAGTTGTGCCGGGGCAACGCCAGGAAGCCCCATGGGTAACCTCTGCTGCGCGCTCCTTCCCAGGCGGCACCATGGATTCCTCTGGGGCCAGTGCATGCCCAGAAAAGCCTGGGCTACACAAGACAGTCTCTTTCTCGAGGACACTTGGAAAGATGACTTGAATGTGGGTGCTTGGCTTCTCTGGTCCCAGCTTGCCCTCCGGGCAGCAGGGGCTCTGTCTTGTCCCAGATGAGCTGAGCCCGAGAGGAGGGCTTTCCCAGCCCTGGGACCCTCCGAGGTGGGTGTGCGGGTCTCACAGGTGCTTCCTGGGACTTCCTGTGGCAGCACAGGGCTTGCCTTTGTCTTCTGTTCCCGGTGGAAAGCCATGGGAGAGGAAGCTTCTCCAAGTATCCGAGCCCGTTCACCCTCCTCTCTTTGGTAGCTTGTGAATGTGCCAGGTGTTTTGAGGTGGGCTTGCCTTCCGGCAGCATGGACTTTGTTAAAATAATAGGCGGAAAGAAGAGGCCTGGGAAGTGCCCCTAGTCTATTGGAATGTCCTGGCCACAGGGTCATGTCAGCTGCCAGTTCTCGTCTCCCCTCCCGGAGTTGCTCGGTCTCACCAAGCCGCCTGCCCACCTGTTCTGGCGGCTCCAGTGCAGGTTGTCCCAGCCCCACTGCTTTGATTCCAGGTGATTTTTTTTTTTTTTTTTTT